AACTTTGAGACAGAATTAAATATCATTAAGCAAATAGCAGTAAACAACGGATACAACGAACAAACAATTAACAAAATGATAAATCAAAAACTACACAAGAAAGCACTGAAATTATTATTTCCACCACCACAGAAAAAAACCCAGTACCTTCTGCTCGATTATATATACAGGCAAAATATCAACAAAATAGCCAAACACATAGAAAAGAAAGAAATAACACCAGCTTTCCGGATAACCTGGACAAATATATCAAAAACAACAAGAGCCAAAATAAAAAAAAACACTACACAGTGGCGTATACAAATTTAAATGTGGCGACTGCCAAAAACTTACATCGGTCAAACTGGTAGAAACTTTAATAATCGAATAGCAGTACATGAAAGGGCTTTCAATAATATAAAAACAGATTCGACATACGCACTTCACCTTCTAGATCACAATCATTCTTTTAATGACGAATTTAAAATTCTTCACATTTAAAATAAAGGCCTTAAGCTATCCTTGTTAGAATCTATGGAAATCAACAAATTAAAAAACACAGATATAATTCTGAATGACCAACATGAGACAAACAGTTCTTCCCTCCTCAACCTATTTCATTAGAAACTATGTATAAAGTGTAATCGCATGCCAAAAATAGATCACTTGAAAAAGGCAATCAGTCGAAACAGCTGTAGTGATAAGCGGTTAAAATAAATTTTGTGGAAGTTTGAAAACAAAGTTTTCACTGTTTTCTTGTTACATAAAATAAATTTCCATCAAGTAACGGTCGAATCCATCAATTAACAACGTAAAAAGTTCAAGCCTCAATTTAGCTAATAGAAACATTCACAGCGTACAACACAGTACAGTTTGTAGCTTTCTTATATCTATCCATGTTGATAACTTATTTTAATACATTTTCGACATTTTGTAAAACATACAATACCGTCAAAATAGGGACATCCGGTATATTTGATTTGTATCGAGCAAGTGGACGCTTGCAGAATACTAAATTTTATTCTTATCCAAGATCTTTATGGCTAAATTCTTCATTTTCACGGTTATTACCGCTTTAACAGAGTTTTATTGGGTAATATAAAAATCTCATTTCCTCTGTAAATTTCTGCATAGAATATTCAATTTAAACCTTAAAGTATATTTCGAAAAAGACCCAAAAAGAAATAAAAAGGACTGCTTTTTGCGATGTCCTTATAAATTAAATTTAATTGCAGAAAATTCAGTGAAGGGCTTTTAAAAATCTGTTACTGAATGCGTTCAGTTGACGATAGTACAAAAAGTTTGAATGGAAATAAATTTTTTGCTGGAAAAATTATGAAGCATTTACTATTTGTTTTAGCTCGTCAAAATTTAATGATTTAAAGAAAAAAATTAATATTTTTATTTTAAATGTAAATTATTACAAGTAATTACAGAAAATGATGTTTTTATACTCAAAAAGTTATTTGTACATTTTAACGACTATATTTTAAAATATACAGTGTGGATATTAAGGCTTACCCCCTAGTGAACTCCGTTATTTATAACAAAGATGAAAAACGCTCGGACCGTTTATTTTTATTTTAATAGAGACAAAACATTTTTTATGTTAAAAAAATTTTTTAACATAAAAAAAATTATCACTCCTTTCATCCCCCTCACTTGACAGCTATCCCTCAGATTTTTTAAATAGCAATGGGGGTCGAGCGATAGTTCATTGGAAAGGGTTTAAAAAGAAGAATTTTAAAATATATCACACTTTACTTTAACTTTAAAATCCATCCATAATCCATAATCATCCTTTGGGATCCAATTTTTAAAAATTTTCACTTGGATGTCTGTATTTGCTGAAAAACTGTAGAATGTTTTAATTCAATGTTTCCTCTTTTCCGGCAAATTGGGATTAGAGGATCAGAATAAGACACATATTTATAATAAGCTTGACCATGTGCATGTATCAAAACATCAAAAATATTTTTTTTTTTTTAATTTAAAATTTGGCAAAAATCTTTCAAGGGGGAAACCTTGGATTTTTATCAAATTTCGTTAATCGGCTATATTATTGTCAATTTTGGTCCGAGATTCAAGCTAGTGGACATTTCTTACATAAAATTGGTCGCTTGTTTTTCTGTCATACACAAAACTTTCCTACAACTAACGTTTCGTGAGAAAAATTTCACTTGGATGTCTGTATGTGCTGAAAAACTGTAGAACTTTTTAATTCGATGTTTTCTCTTTTCCGGCAAACTGAGGTTAGAGGATCAGAATAAGACACATATTTATAATAAGCTCAACCAAGTGCATGTACTAAAACATCAAAATTTTTTTTTTATTGTAAAATTTGGCAAAAATCTTCCAAGGGGGGACCCTTGGATTTTTATCAAATTCCGTTTATCGGTTATATTGGCGTCAATTTTGGTACGAGAGTTAAGCGAGTGGACAATACTCACATAAAATTGCCCGCCTATTCTTCTGCCTTACTCAGAATTTTTCTACATCTAACGGTTCGTTAGAAAAATTTCCACATGTGTGTCTGGATTTTCCGAAAAACTGGAATTTTTTAATTCGATTTTTTTTCTTTTCCGGCTAAATGGGGTTATAGGATCAGAATAAGACACATGTTTATAAAAAGCTGGATAAAGTGTATGTACCAAAACATAAAAAAAAAAATTTTTTATAATTTAAAATTTGGCAAAAATCTTCCAAGGAGGACTCTTGGATTTTTATCAAATTTCGTTAATCGGCTATATTGGCGTCAATTTTGGTCCAAGAGTCAAGCGGGTAAACATTTCTTACATAAAATTGGCCGCTTATTCTTCTGCTTTACTCAGAATTTTCCTACATCCAACAATTCGTGAGAAAAATTTCCACTTGGATGTCTGTATTTGCTGAAAAACTGTAGAATTTTTTAATTCGATTTTTCCTCTTTTCCGGCAAATTGTAGTTAAAGGATCAGAATAAGTCACATGTTTATAATAAGCTGGACGAAGTGCATGTACCAAAACATCAAAAAAAAAATTTTATAATTTAAAATTTGGCTTAAATCTTCCAAGTGGGGACCCTTGGATTTTGTCAAATTTCGTTAATCGGCTATGTTGGCGTCAATTTTGGTCCGAGAGTCAAGCGAGTTCATGTATATTACATAAAATTGGCAGCTGGTTCTTCTGCCGTACTCGGAATTTTTCTCCTACCTCTCTGTAGAAATTTTTTACTTTGATTTCGTCTGTGTTCTTCTTCTACTTTTTCGATTTGTTGCTGCAGATATTGTCTCTTTTTTGGTCCAAGTGTTTTTCTAGCTGCGGCTCTCTTTCTGTGGAATCGTATATCTCTTCTGATGGATTCAATAGATTATCAATTCTTCTTTTGTTTGCTTCTTTTAGAGTTCTTTCACATTCGTCGTCAAACCATTATATTTTTTTTTGTTTTTTTCGTTCTTCCGATAGATTTCTCTGCTGCTTCTGTAATAGTTGTTTTTATGCAGTTCCATCGCTGATCTATATCTTCACTTTTATTTTCATTTATTTCCAAAACCTGAAATCTATTTCTTAATTCTACTTGGTACTGTCTTTGATTATTCTCTTATTTTAGCTTCGCCACATTCCATCGTTCAATCTTTGTGTGTTTATCTATTGTTTGTGTTGAAATTCTTGTTCTGAGCTTGGCTTTTACGAGAAAATGGTCTGTGTCGCTGTCAAGCCCTCTCATAGTTCTTACACTTATTATGCTGCTAGAATATCTCCCATCAATCAATACGTGATCTATTTGATTATTTGTTATTCCATCGTTTGATCTCCATGTTGCCTTGTGGATATTTCTGCTAGCGAACTGATGGCTAAGTTGCAGCCTGTCGCAAAGTCGACCAAACGTGATTCATTATCGTTTGTAACTTCATGTAGACTATATCTTTCTGCCACCAGTATTAGGTAGTCTTCTGTGCCTATATTTGTGTTTAGATCACCTAGTATTATTTTAATATCGTGTTTAGGAGCTTCTGTGTAGAGTTGATTTAGAGAGTCGTAGAATTTATTTTTATCATCCTTCGGTTGGTGTATATACTGAAAATATAGTTAAAATGGACCATTTACCTCTTAAAAATCCACAAGCAATCTACGTTCCTGTAGTTGGCCGTATGCCATATATTGAAAATTTATTAAAAATCATTTGTAAAAGGTATATATTAAGAACCCAAACGGGCTAAGTTAAATAGACAAAACGTTTTCGGAATCCATATTCCATCATCAGTGTCTAGGAGTACATGAATATAGCCACTAAATATATGGGTAAAAACCCGTTAACAAATAACTGATTACATTTAGTTTACAAAATTTCTTATAATGATTTAAGATGTTAAAGTTACCGTTGGATTAGGTAACATGGCGACATATGACTCCACGTTGAAGTTGCTAGTCTTAAGACGGTGTGTCTACGAAGACTGTATGGGAGCAACTCCTATATACCTTTTCCAAAGGATTTTTAATAAATATTTACCTCTTAATCTTATGATGCAGACTCGTTTGTTTATTGTTACCTAATGTGATTTGTGTATATATTTGGTTGTTATTGAAATCTCCTTTAGTACTGCTCGGAATAGTCTTAAAGAGCTTCTTTTACGGAGGTTCCAGGACTCCTTGGTCAGTTGTGGAGGTATTAGACAGGCTAGGCTTCAAATAGTGGGGCCATCCAAAAACTATTATAGCCCAACTTCTCTTTCTAGACCTTAGAAGATACTTTCTGGTGGTCAGTATGCTTACCGGCCACTGTAGACTTGGGCGGCACGTTCATAGCGTATCAGAGGTGGCAGATTTTGGGTTTGGTCTTTATGAAACCTAGCCAAATGAAGAAATTACCTTTAAAGAGGGTGGTGGCTTTCCCAAAGGTCACAAGGTTAATAAAGAATTAGATGTTTGAAAAAGCAGGAAGGACTTAACTTGCTTTAAATAAAACATGTAGAAACAGTGGAATTTTAAGGCATCTGTAAGGCATCGAAAAACAAAACTGTATATTTTGAACTGCTAATTTTTAAAACACCAATTAACTTTTATTGATCTTTAAATAATCACATTTACCTAAAAAACAATTTTTAAAATGATTTGTTTTTACATGAAAAACATTTTGGATAAAACTAAAAATATAAATAAAGTAAAGGGTGCCATATTTTTGCTAGAATTATTGGATTTCCTAGAAACGATGAAGGTTCTTATTTGCATTGGATTTAAAGATAATTCTCCATTAGCTCCAATATTTCTTATAACTAGTGAAACTCCTTTACTAGTTTCGTTTTTAATATTCCACACATATCTAGGTTCATCATGAAGTTCAGTCAATGGCACATTTGCCCCAAGTGTAGTCTCAGTTATTGTGTGAGCGTCAATTCCTTTGATCAAATTCTGAAAAGGAGAAAATTTAATTATTATTATATAATTTATTCGAATCTTTAGTAATATATCACATAGGAAGCAAAAAAGGTTTACAACAATAAAATGCATAACAGGAGATACTGATTTCTGATACTGATTGAAAATAAACGATTGAATAAAAAATTAGATTGCTTTTATAGATACGCAATCCCCTTTTGCCATGGCTTTTCATTTATACTCGGAATATTGTTAACTATAGAAAATGGGGCTTGTCATCTTGTTTTGCTTATTCATTAGTGTATGAATTGGAATATAAATTCAAATGCTCTATGTCCAAACTTCTAGATCGACGACGTGAAATAAGTCGTGGAGTGGATAATTTATCGGTAGCTAATAAATCAGTACAGTTGACGATCTTCAAAATGATTTAAAGTATGCAACGTTTCAATCAACCAATTGAACGTGACACCAAGCTCCGCTTGGTACTTGTCCCCCGTACTATAATATTCCGAAGCGACCTCACTAAATTATAAATATTTTTAGTAGCCGTTTCATCATATATAAGCCGATACTAATTTTTATTGGCTTTTTTCAATCATAACGCTACAATCATTCTTAATCTACAATCTTCTTAATTTTAGTCACACAAATTGATTAGTGTCTGGGCCGTATACACGGGTAAGTATCTTTTTCTAGTTTTAGGCCTCTGTTTTTAACTTATTTTTTTGCGTGGCAGATACTTTCTTTCTTTCAATAAAGCTCAAAACATTTTAACTTTTTTTTACTGTATGTATGTACCTATGTTACCTTATTTTCTTTAATTTTTTCCTACAAATTTATTTTTATTATTGCCACGCTGTGATCAGAGATTTTGCTGAGATCGTTTCAGAATACTCAGCTTTATTTCTGATCAGGCTTTTCTTTTGGTAGAAAACTGATCTTTGTTAGAATTTTCTAGCCACTACCTTGGGGAACAAGAAAACTGCCAACCAAAATACCTTGGGCAACAATCAGCAACCACTTACAAATCCACTGATGCATCAGAACGGAATTTGAAATCCATTTACTAGCATGGGACGAAAATGATTGCCATTATTTAGACAAGCAATTCCCCTTAAACCAACCAACAACCACCGACAGCGGCTAGCTTCTACAAAGATCAGAACCCTTCCTGAATGACTGAACAACTCATTCGAAACAAAATAAAGCTAAGTACTTTTTTTCTAGTCTCAGTCTCAGTTAATTTATTTTTGTTTCATGTTCATAATACTTAATAAGTATTTTTATTTTCTGTACCTTTCTGGGATTCGTGTTAAGAGAGAATAAACAGGAAACGAACCCAGGGCTGAGCAGTCGGGCAGAGCACCATTCTGGTGGATGGACCGGTGGGAGTTTTTCTCTTGAATATCCTTAGGGATATTCGAAGAATTTCTCCCCCCGTTTCTTCCAGCAGTAGGATGCTGCTTAACGCCCTGGTCTTAATAAGATTAGACGTTACAAGTACTTAACGGACTTATGGGAATTAATGGACTCAAATATTTATTGTATGTGAAAACCATTATAAAAACAGCATTAACATACATAGATCATTTCTTCATGACCTACACTTTAATAATATCACGTTAACTTAGGGACTACAACAATTATGTGAATTATTTAGATTTAATCTAGAATTCCACCTCTTGTCGTGTGTTAAAAAATAAAAAATATATAATTTATTGAGGAACTTATATGGTAAATAATGTCGGTTATGGTAAATACCGTGGTTATTAAATTAGATAACCATTTATTTGGAATACAACAGTACACTTTTATATAACATTACTTATTCTAATTGTACTTAGTACTTAGTTGAAGTTGCTATGAGACTACCCCATAATTACCAATACGTGATACATTACCTTGCCATCTTGACGTTAATTTAGTTCTGATCTTTGAGATAATAATCGTTGTTTTTTTTTTTAATAGTCCTTGCATATATCAGCAGTTTATTTATTAGTGGGTCAAGTTTATTTTAACGACCTACGGCAACCATACGTCTTGATTAGCAATTCTGCTGACTTACACATTCTAATTCAAGGCTATTTTATGAATGCCCCAGATTCTAATTATTAAACATATTGTATATAAACAAATGCGAAACTATGTTACACGTTTCTTTTAACTTATTCTTTATATGAATTATAATATTTTAGGAATAATACCCCAACTTACTACTTACTCAATGATCAGAGAAATATAAAAAATATCAAATCTTATTATTACAAGATTCCTATGAAATAAACCAGGGAAACCTAGGATATAACCAGTATAAATCTTAAAAAAAAACGAATATTTTCGTATAAAGTTTTTAAGAAACGTATACTTACCTTTAATTTAAATATAGCCTTGGTGGATAACTTAGGATCTTCTCCCTTTTCCATGATGTGCTCAAATCTCAGAAGAACATTATCACTTATCCATGGTTCCAAAGTCAAGATGTTAATATTCTCGGGTAGCTCTTCATTTATTGCAGAGTACTAAAATTGATTAACTTTGTAGGTAATATCAGTTTGCGACTAAGGACATGCATAGGCCGGGCCGAATTTTTCTTTTTTTATTTTCTACAGGGCTAGTTGCCGAAAACCGGGTCCGTCCCAGCTTACATGGAGGAGGAGTTCTGAATTAAGTAGGGACTTTTTTGTACTTCGCGGAAGACGGACAGCCGGGGGAGTCCTCAACCCCAATACGGCGCGTCCCACTGGCTGATAGGGAAATGTCCTACAGATATGTAGGATAGGTGTGAATAGAGTTTTACCAAATAAGCACCCGCGGACCAACTGACGACAGCTATGACAACAGCTAGACATTACTTCATTAAGGCTATAGCGGAATGATTTCTACTGTTGGCTTCATGACAGATACTCACGGGCGGATATCACAAACCGGCCGTGATACTGCGATCAGGCAGGCAAGGGGAAACCACCTGAATAAATTTCCGTGCCTACACCATCATGAATATATCGAATCAGTTAGATATGCTTAGCGATCCGATAAGCGATTGGTGCTCAGTTGGTTCCGGGCCAACTAGTGTCAAATGGGCTACCGGGCATGTGCTTGTGAGCTACCAGGCAACACATGCGAAATTGGCGCCTGGAAGAAAATCAGATTTTCAGTGAAGAAAAGCAATGGGAATAGCAACCTGGAATATTCGAGGATTATTGCAACCAAGCAAACTGCATATAGTACAAAGAAAAGTCGAAAGAGAGGATGTAGAAAAATGCGAACTTTCGGAGACCCATTGGAAAGGACAAGGACTCCGAACGGCAGATCATGTTGTATACATATCGGGAGCAAATAATACAGGAATAAATGGTGTTGCAATTATGTTGACTAAAAAAGTTTCACAAAACGTGTATGATTACCAACCGATAAATGATAGACTTATAAAAATTACCTTACTAGCATCACCAAACAAAATGCATATTCTTCAGGTCTACATGCCAATCTCAGATGCATTAGACAATGAAGTAGAAGACGTATACTCCGTTATTGAAGACACAATAAGAAATATTCCATCTAAAGAAACACCCATAATCATGAACGATTTTAACGCTAAGGTAGGAGAAACAAGAAATGATAACATCCAAAATGTAGGAAACTATGGGTTAGGTGTTAGAAACAGCCGAGGCGAACGTTTAATAGATTTTGCAACCAAAAACAGTTTGGCCATTGTAAACACAATGTTCAAACATCATGCCCGTCGTTTATCGACGTGGACTAGCCCAAATGGAGAACACAAGAACCAAATCGACTACATATTGATTAAAAACAGATGGAAGATATGTTTTATAAACGTAAAAACTAGACCAAGAGCTGAATGTGAATCCGATTAAAAATTGTTATGGGCTTGCTTCAAGATGAATCTAAAAAGAACAATGCCGCAACAAAATCAAAACAGGCTGGAGATTTCAAATCCGAAAACATTTAGAGTTGCATTAAAGGAAACTGGTATGTTGAACACACAAGACAACCCAGAAGAAATGTCGAAGGGTTTCAGAAATGCAATAGAAACCTCTGCAGAAAGAATCAGAACCGAAAAAAAGATCATTTTTATCATATACCAAAACGAGAATAACAAAAACGAATTAGCAAGCTTAAATAGAGAAATTAAGAGCATGTAGGGATGATAAAAATAAACATATAAGTGAGAAATACGAAGAACTAGAGAGATATGCAAACCGGTATAAATCCCATGAGCTATATAAAAAAGTCCGATATCTGTCCAGGGAATTTAAACCAATCACACAAACAATAATGGATCAAAACCAACATATTATAAATGACGAGAAAGGGATTGCGAAGTATGGAAAAATATTGTCAGTCTATATGCAGATGATCTTCCGAATGCAAATGACGATGAGTTCACTGCAGAGAGAAAACCAAACATTATAAAGTCAGAGGTAGAAAAAGCAATCAATAAGTTGAAAAATAGAAAATTTCCTGGCGCAGACCAGATCACCGCAGAAGTTTTAAAACAGACTGGAAATGTTGGAGTAAATATTATGCATATGATCTGCAAAAAGATTTGGGAAACCGGAAAGTGATCCAACGACTTAACAACATCCACTTTCATCCCTATATTCAAAAAAGGAACACCGCTAGACAAGGAACAACTATAGAACGCTAACCAAAATAATATTCCATGTAAGCAAGGTTCTACTTTATGTAATACATAAAAAATTATAAATAAATATTAATATTTTAGATACTAGCCTGCATCAAAAATAAAGCAAAAAAAATTGTTTTATGCCCCGGAGCCCGGTCAAAAATAATTTAATTCGGCTCATATTTGATACATAGTAGGACAACCATATACAACTTTTTTTACTAGCCCGTTCGTTTAAAGTTTCCCAAAAAAATTTTTTTGCCTTTTTCGCCCCGGCCTAATATGCTGGCACAATTTTGGTGGATGCATCAAAAATTCTTCTCGTTTTTGTGCATCTTTGATTGATATTCATAAATATTTCGTAGAGCTTTGAAAAATTGGCAACATGAAATTCTGAAATTCGATTTGCGAGTGACACCGTTATACTTGCAGACAATATGAAACGTAAACAACTAAGGAATAAAGTAAATGAAGTAGATTTGAACAGAAATAAACATATCAAAAACTAAATGTATGTTTAACAAGTAAACAGTTTACCTATTTTAAAACAATAATGAACAAACAATGATATAACTCACATGAGATAAAAAGTAAAATAGAAAAGGCTTTAACAACATGGTCAAACGCTTTAAATGCCACAAACTTAATGTGAACATCAACGTAAGGCTCTTACGATGGCAAATTATCTCAAAATATTATGGTGTTGTGTCAAAATCTGAATACTTACTAAAGAAATAAAGAATAAACTTAAACATTCGAGAATATGATTAAAGTAAAAAGTAAAATTCTTATGGCAAAAATAATCACTCATATTCGAAATGAATGGGAATAAAATATATAAAAATAAAAAACTTGTTTCTTTAATGGAACATTTTTGAAATTATCATATATGAACCAGCTAAATTTTAGTAAGAATGTAAATTTTTGGATCCCAAAAACGGTGCAAGGGTTTGTTCATTAAAACATCGTCGATTTACCAAAAACTATACGCCGTAGAAAAAATTGTTTTAAACCAGCAATGTAGTGGAGATAATTCAGCGACTTTTAAAATTTCTTCATTTTTTGTTTGAAACATATTAGGGGAAGCTATTTTCTTGTGGCATTGTAAATTAATTACTATTAAACTGGAAATAAGCCATTAAATGTTAGAATAAGTGAACATCAATCTGATATTAAAAATAAAGAATTTGATAGATCTCAAATCTGTAAACACGCATGGGATAATGAACAATTTCAATGGGTTCAATAGAATAATTCAAATGTAGTCCTAAAAGAAACGGATGGTAAAAAAGAAAAATCAGAGAAGCGGCTCTAATTATGCTAAATGAGGCCAATTGTGTCGCAAATTCCTCGGCAGAATGTAGTAGGATCTGGTTACCAATATTGAAAGAGGAAGTTATTAATAAGAAAATACCAGTATTAGTAAGTCAGTAACATATAGAGGATACATCATTTGTGTTTTTTAAATAACGTAACATATAAAATCAGAATTTTGATGTTTGTTGAAGGTAAACTAAATTCACGAACAAATACTTACAATGTCGGGATAGTATTATGAGGTTTTTTTCCTGGTTTTCCCTCATAATTTACTATGCAATCACTAACAGGAGAATTTTACTGTCATCATGTCATGTGTTTGTCTTTTTAAAGACGAATTACATGCTATGATTTTTTTCTGACGGATATTCTCAAGTTAAAGTTGATTTCATGTAATCGAATGAACTATTTTATAAGTAAAGTCGTCCCAGGAGCGCAACTCAACAATATTGGCACTATCATTTTAAAGTCGTCTACTTTAAAATGCATAATGTATGTCTGAATTGTCAATATAAATGAGTCAGATAAAATTAAATTATTAGAAGAATTTTTCACTATGTAACAAAAAACAAAACTTGTTTAATTTACTGTTTGTATTTTGAAAACGATTTCCGAAGTGGAAATTGAAACGTCAATAAACGTATTTTTATCTTTAATTGTGGCTTATTCCCAGTTTAATAGTAATTAGTTTTAGGGGAATACCGAAAAGTAGGGATGTTAAACTTTTTTGTATCATTTTGGAGTCCTAAAATTGACATTATCAGCAAAATTTACCTTATTTGTGTGCCGACTGAACTAACATCTTAAAAGATAACATTATAAGTTTACCTTAAGGTTAATTGACTTTTCTAGTTCATCGAATGTTTGCTTGGTAGAGGACAGTCCTATCCAAGGTTGAAGAAGTTTCTTGTGAGCTAGTATACGTTCTTGTCCAGTTGCCGTTGTACCTACGTCACAATATAAAGGTTAATAAAACAATTCGCAACATAAACTCTTTTTAAACGAGTCCGAAATTTACTTTTAAATATATTTTTTGTAAGAGTTAAGTTTGTGTTTGATATATCCAGGCTTAGAAATCATTATAGAATATATTTTACTTTCTTTTTCTTTTTCTATTCTGACGATACCTATAACAGGTAAAGAGAAGCAAAATATTTTTAATTGTTTAATAGTTTTAACCAACGCTTACATAGATATGTACAGTATTCTTTTTTTTATTACATTTGTATACAACCAGAAAATGGTTGAGCCATTTGCAGGTCATCCTATCTAAAAATAATTTTTATTTTCTACCACTTACCGTACTTGTTTACTTTTTTTGTATCTCCAATCACTAGATAATGTGATCCTCTGGCATACATTCCTATTTCTGAATCAAACTCGGTTTCGGAAAGGGGTTCACCCACTCCCATGCCGTCATCAGTTATTGTTCGTCTGTGCACCTATAGGAAACTTTTAAATTATAACGTCTAAATAATATAGGAAATTGTTTCTATACTGAGTATTGTTGTCAACTATACAGGGGGTTCAAAATCTCTTTTGACAAATGAAGACCAGAGATTCGTCAGATAATTTTAAGACGATTTAACCCAATTTACTTATTCCGTTAATGCTTCCTAAGTGAGCTAGAGCTTGTAGCAGTCACTACTGCTAACATATAATTAATTAATATAATTAAATATTAAAATCGTAAAACCCCTCAGAATCTCGTTTATGAAACGTTTATGGCAATAGACGATACTATTCGTAGTTCTCTGATACTATGCGCAAGTGTAACAACTAAAGTCGTCAAGAGGCGCTCGCCTAAAGTCAGTTTTGGCCATCAACTCAAACAGCGAGGTTTATTTCTCCAAGCGTTTACCGGCATTTTTCGTTTTAAAATCGGGTAGAAAATCTGGGATTGGACTTAATATTTTCCCCGAACATCAAGCGAGAAATTGGAATAACAAAATATGTTGATTGTAACAGAATGGAACAGATTGAAAAATAATCTTGACTGAAAAACCTGGCTTCCAAATCTGCCGAAACGATTATTTAAAACCCACGTGAGCAACTAAATCATTTAATTTTTAAGGCCTATCATTTTATTAATATTTTCATTTTCTTTTGAAATATTAACAGTGTAAAATCCGAGTTTTCTCATATGTATTATGTGGCCTTGAGCTTAGTCGTAAATTTATCGGACACCTAAATAGGGTTTTTCTGTTTTTTTTTTGTATACCTACTCGGTATAAAAACTTCCGTGCCTAATTTACTAAGATATTCTTTAAATGCGCAGACGCAATAAATAGACAGGATGACAGCAAGCTGATAAAATAAAATGTTTGTTTATTATGGTAATTCGATGTAAGAGTATGTGTTGACAGTCATCTTTGGGTGCCTTGATGTTTCTCTAAATGTTATTTTTTTTGTAGATTTCACCCGATTAGGATAACCTTAATATTAGGATTAGTTTAACCAAACACCTACTTCAACCCATTGGTAACCCGGAAACGATTGTCTTCAAAACCACAGCGTTCTCCATTTGCTTTTTCGGAGCCCAAGGACCACCAGCGTCTTAAGGGGACTTAACCAGGACAGCTGTGGTGTTGTGACAGACACTAACATCAAGTTTTATAGAGTTAAGGTTTTTTTCTTGTAATTTACAACTTTGTATATACATATACCATGGTTAGTACTTATTAGAGTTTTTGTATCATCTATAAGAAGTTAGGTAAATGGTTATAAACTAATTAAATTAGATTCATTGTTAGGGAAGGGGTTCATGATTTTGTATAGCGGTTTTTTAAAAGGAAAGTGAAGAAATTTATGTATCAGGTTTTTTAAAATTATATATATATATATATATATATATATATATATATCTTTCCGAGTCTGTTGGCCATACTAATGATACTTGATCATTTTAGATATCTCCCAGCATCTATGTGTAAGCATAACACTTACACATAGATCTTTATTTATTTTTTCGTTAATTTTCTTCAGAAATTAGCTGGCGCCCATTTCAGTATTTTCCTAGGCATTTCCGTATTGTGAATTTCTAGTACCATTCATAGGCGCCCCTTTTGGATAGGTCAACGGGTATTTTAACGCATATTTTTTTTGTCTATAAATTTGAAGTATTCGTGATACTAGATTGTTAGATTTTCTGGTATTCTAGTACTAAATGGTACTCCTATTTTAAGTCGGTAGGATATACAGTTTTCGAGAAAAATTAATTTGAAAATTTTTCGTTTTTTCGTCAAGAAAGTTAAAATAATATGTTTTGCACTAGGCTAAATGAGCCAAATATTGCCATGCTCCTAATATTGCCACTCCCAATAAATTTATTAATTTGTCCCTTGAATCACAGATGGTCATATAAGCTCAAATATCGAATTAAAACAACCACTCTTAAAACGTTGTAGGTGAAACCAGTTAGTATTGGTGTTCACGGCAAAGCAGCGTGGATTTCGTGCAATTTGTTTATAAAAATGTGGGAAAACTGTAATGATTGTTATAATCTAGCTAATACCGACTATAGAAGGGTGAGAACGTTATCAGGTAGGTACATTCAAGTACTTTATTATTCCATATTGTGTGTAATTAATATAAAAGAGAATAAATCATACATCGCCATTTTTGTTCCGCAGTAGTAATGATCCTAATATTGCCACATGAGATAGTTGCTAATATTGCCATGGCAATAATTTGAAACCTAACATAAAAATTTACTTTTTAATAATAAAAAGTTTCTTTTCAATAGAATGCCGAATAACAACTTAGCCCTGAGGTCTGAGGCGAATCTCATTGCAGCGTTAGAAGCAATAAGAGCTGGAAGCAGTATAATCCAAGCTTCATTATGACATGAACTACCTCGAACAACACTTGAACAACATTATCGCAGCCAAAATTCGGTTAAACGACTTGAAAAGAAAAGTGTTTTAAGTTTTGAACAAGAAAGAGATCTAGTTCGCAGAATTAATAAACTAGCAGAGGTGGGTATGTCATTACTAGTAAAATAGTAAGAAGAAGTCTATTTTCGTAAGCGATAATAATGAACTTTCCTTATCCTTTTTCTGATACATCTAAATTAGCAGGAAAGAAATGGCCAAAATTATTCTTTGCAAGACATCCTGATGTTGTTAGAAGGAAGGCTCAGCAAATGAATTCAGCAAGAGCACAGAAAATGAATCCATTTATTGTAAACGACTATTTTAAGAAATTGGAGGAAGTATTCAATAAATTGGAATTGTTTAATAAACCTAGAAACGTGTAAAATATTGACGAGAAAGGTTGCTGTCTAACGATCCATAGACAGCAAACCGTATGGGCCAAGAAAGGTGCTAAACGTATCAACTTGACAGCGCCTCAACACGGTGAAAATGTTAGTATTGTGGGTTGGGGAAATGATCTGGAACAAGCCATCCCACCGTTCATTTTCTCCAAAGCGAAGAGATTGAAGCCTGAATGGAATGATCATTGTACCTACCACCAGGATCAATGTAATGATGACACAGAAAGGGAGCATGATAAATGAGGCGTTTATTTCATAGCTGGAACATTTTGCAAAATATAAGAATACAGGACCCACACTCCTGATATTCGATGGTGCAAAATTGCATCTGGACATAAGTATTGTTGCGATATACCAAAATTTGGGCTATATTGTACTTTCTAAGAAACTTTACAAATGGTTTACTGTCCAGAGTCATTTTCCAAGTTCATGCTAGTCAGCAGCTTCTACAGGAAAGCCAAGTCAAGGAGTGGCTTTGTTAGGACTATTCAAACAATTTGAAAAATTTTCAGTAAACTTTTAAAATATTCAACAAAACGTTAGTTCAGTATTATGGATCACCAAATTATAATTAAAAAAATAAACTTACCATTAACTCTATTTGATTGGTTTCTAAACTAGTACCACCTTGAGATCTGTCAGTAAGAACCGCCACCTGTATATTTTTGTCTTCATCTTTAACTACTATCTTTGAGGTTACTGGATAGTAGTTACTGGCAACTGGTTCCTTGGTAGAATCGTAACTATAATCACCTCTTTTATCTTTGATTCTTTGAATAGTTTCTCTACCATTAGAATCGGTGTAGAATATATTTTTGTTATTGAAATCGATTACTTCAAAACGGCTTACTATTTCTTTTCCAACGTTATCTTTTCTACAATGAAATAATAATAAATACAAAAAGATGATACAGTAGGCCGTGTACACTAGAGTAGAGCTAAGCTCCATACTATCCACAAAGAAACTAAATTACTGTAGTTGGCTGTATACCATGTATCACAAAAAAATATTTAAAAATTTTTTTATAAAATGTATATTAATCATAGAACGTTTTTGGAATTATTATTCCATCATTTGTGCTACCTGGATGTAGAGGTAATAGATTTTAACAAGAGCTATGAGTCATGCCGATTCAGTACACAAGTTTACATGTTATTTACAAGGTCATAGCTCTTGTCCAAATCCATTACCTTTAGATGTTTTTAGCCACTAAATACATAGGGAAGTCATAAATAAATGAAAAATTGCTCATGCAAACTGAAGTTTATTCAGTGATACTCTTAAAGACCTTTCAAACCAAATAATTTTCAAGGAAAACATCGACGCTGCCGTAGAGCAATTTACAAATTGCATTCTAGCTGCAGCCGACCAATGTATAGGTAAATGCACCATAAACTCCTCAAGAAAGGCTATCCCATAGTGTAACGACTCCTGTAAACTCGCAATAAAATAACACAAGAAGGCTCTTAATAGATGTCGCAAAACTCGTAGCATCGAAGATCTTATTCATTTTAAGAAAATGCGTGCAAAGTCCAAACGAATTCTGTAGGAAAGCAATAAACAATCCTGGAAAAAATTCGTTAACAGCGTAACTTCAGATACCCCTCCTGCCAAAGTGTGGACAAAAATTAAACAAATAAGAGGTTTAAATGCATATCGCAAAATATCCACTATAATAGATAAAGATAATGTCATTATAAATGATAACCAAATAACCGAAACTCTAGCCAAATACTTTCAAAACAAAACTAAGTCTGAACTCTCCATTTCGTACCCCACAAACCAATCATCACCTAACCCAGGGGTGGCCAACCTTTTTAAGTCGAGTGCCAATATGAGAACAAAAAAAATTTGGCGTGCCACTAAAATTTTTCGACATACTAATATGGATACTATATATTAATAATATACGGTAAAATATGTATTTCTTGTGTAAATTCCACATTTTTCCGTTTAGTCAAGATAGTGGAGGTTTAAAAAATAACGTAATAAGTAAAACATAACAACAAACTTACTTTATTGTTAATAAAAATAAAATAAAAACGTTAAACAAAAAAACTTAAATATTTTCTTATTATCTAAAATTCAAATTATTAAACAGTTACTTATTTAATGTGGTATTTGAACATGTATTTTTTTAATTAATTCATCTATATTGGGATTAATTTCGGAACTAACCAACAGAATTAGATTTTTTAAATGCATGTCAGTTAATCGTGACCGATATTTTGATTTTATTATGTTCATAATAAAGAACACTTGCTCACAAACGTACGTTGAACCAAATCTACAACAATATCTCAGAGCTAACTCGTGTAAATTAGAAAAATTGTTTGCTGGTACAAATTTCCAAAATTCAATATAATTGGGATCAGTAACAGTTGAAATAATTTCCCTGTATATGGTTTTTAGTATAGTGTGGTTCTGTAAATCAATAATTTCGATCTGTATTTCAGCTGAGTAACAATTGATATCTTGCAGAGAAATAGAAAAAGGATTTATGAAAAAATCCACAACTGAGTTCCACGTTGTTCTCCGAGTGCAGAGGTTGTCTCTCACCCGGCTCTGGAACCCATTTGAGCCATGTGTTACCTTTGGTCAAATTTAATTTAATATAGAACATCACAGTTAATTTATAACACAATGTACAACATTTCATAACTAAATGTAATTTAAAGGGTTTTTACCCTAATATTTTGGTGGCTCAGGCATTATGACCTAGCATTTTCGATTTTAATAACCTGATGATGGACTGTGTAGTCCGAAAACGTTTGTTCGTTCTATTGATGTGGCCCTTTTAAGGGTTTTTTAAATAAATATACCCATTTACAAAGATTAACCTCTTTTTGATTTATGAAAAGGTCAACATTCATTTTGTCTTTTTGAAAATCTTCAAACCGGGTATTGAATGAACCTAGCAAAATAGATATAAGGTTTTAAAATCTGTCATAATTTGTAGTTCTACTGACCTTGTTGGCTAATTCCTGCATTAATGTGAAATGTGCCAATCTTTGTTCTCCAAAATCGTTACAAAAAAACATAAGTTTATTCACAAAAGAAGATATATGACCAACTAGAGTAGGAAAAATACAATTTTTTCCCTGTAATCTTAAATTTAACAGATTTAAATGTCTCATAATATCAGTGAGAAAAGCTAAATCTTAAAGCCAATCTTTATCATTAAGTAACTAGCACTCACTGGGTAGTTCATTGTTCTCTTGCAAATATTTTAAGACGCACTCCTTCAAGTTCCAAAACCTTTCGAGTGCATTTCCTTTTGAGAGCCAGCGCACACTGCAATGGAGAAGTAACTCTCCATCTTGCTCCGTTTCTTCCGCGAACAGTTCTCGAAATTGTCGTCGATTCAATGCCCGAGCTCGTATTTTGTTAATGCAGCTTGTTACAGGGTCAACAACAGATGACATGTTTAGATCCTTGTCACAAAGAGCTTCCTGGTGAATAATACAATGGTGCTTAAAAACTTTTCTTCCCAAATAGTTTTCCAGTAATGTAACAAACTCTTTTAGTCTACCAACCATGCAAGGAGCTCCATCTGTACAAACACTATCTAATTTTGACCATTAAACTTTGTTAACTTCGATTACGTTTTTAAGCTGTTGAAAAATGTCCTCTCCTGTTGTTGTGACTAGTTGGCGCAAATCCAGAAGCTCTTCGGCATTTTCAAAATTATCATTGGTATAACGGACAAAAATGCTTAACTGCGCATTTTCTGTGTTGTCACAATTTTTATCCAACGCTAAAGAAAAGAATTTGCAGGATTGCGATCCACTTATAATTTGGGAAACAACATCCTGGCCCATATCATCTATACGGCGCATGACTGTATTTCGGGATAATGCAATATTATCGACCATATTTTTGATCTTTACATCTCCCACATTTTTGGCAAATATTGCCAGACTATTTTTAATTATCTGCTCTCCATCGGAGTAGGCTTTTTTCTTCCGGGCTAACAGCAGAGAAAGTTCATATGATGTTTTAACCATAGTTTCCATTTCATCACTTCTCTTCTGAAACAGTGAGTGTTGGCTGGCTAGGGTTTTCTTTTTTTTTTTCAATAAAGTCGGCTCGCAAATTTGAACAATAGGATATTTGTTGCTGAAGTCCTTATGCAGTTGTTTATAATGTCGTTGCAGGTTAAATTTTTTCGGAACTGCTACAGACAATCCACATATCAAACAAACAGTCTTTGAAGTATTACGACTAGTAAATAAAAATTGTTCTTCCCAAGCAGGTTGAAAATCGCAAATTGCAATATCATCTTCGTATTTTCGTTTTGAAGTCGAAGGCTTACTCGTGGACATATCGAACAAATACTTTTAAAATTTTAAAGAAACAATGCGCAATGACAAAATGTGCACATACAACGGGCCAGTTTAAAATAAACTAAGCAAGGGTAACGCAGTCCTATTGCACATTACGACAACTAGGATCACGTGCACCAATCGCAGCAATATCGCTCGCCAGAAGAGGCAATGATGCTGCATCTATCGTAACTTCCGTAAACCTACCCAGTTTCTTCTTATTATTTTTTGTTTTTCAAGTTTTAATTTTTTTGAAAGTTTGATCAGTTTGAAAGTCCTATCAGTGGCACGCTACGCGTGGACTCAATAGGACTCAATCGTGCCACAGAGTGGCACGGGTGCCGCGGGTTGGCCATCCCTGACCTAATCCTATCCAAACCAATCTAATAAACCTCGCCTTCACAGAAATAAAGTTAAATTTGAATGAATCAATGAAAAAATCATCTGCAGGTCCTGATGACATCGCGTCTAGCTTTCTAAAACATCTACAGGCAGGAACCCTATTGAAGCTACTTGCGCTTTACAATAAGATATGGTTCAGCTAAAGCTTTTCGAGTCTTTGGCGTCAGTCGCTTTTCATGCTTCATCAGGAAAAATGACTCATCTTCTAACATCAGTGCCTACAGGCCAATCTCACTAACATACACAATGTGAAAACTACTAGAAAACATGATAAATAAACGTTTGCTTTGGTTTTTGAAGACAACAATCTGATAGATGCAGCTCAGTCGGGATTCAGACCCAATCGAAGTACGATGGATAACCTGGTACTTCTCCAAACAGAAATAACCCAAGCTATATCAAATAGAAATGCTTTAAACTTAAAGCAACAACAACAAACTTAAGTAACTTAACTTAACGGGTAATATTATCACCTTTATAAACAATTTCCTACAAGAGAGATCACTTAAAGTAGTTGGAAACGAAAAAATATCTACATCACATATCTCACAAAATGAAGTCCCCCAAGGCGCGGAGCCGGACCCACACAATTCTTTCTTAGCATTAACGATATAAACTCTCTTGTTCGTCCTCCAATAAAATACTCAATATACGCAGATATGCAATATTCTTTATTGTCAAGGTAAAGTTACAAGGAGCACATGCTCTTTACTCCAAAACACTCTTAACAATAAAAAGAGGTTAGTCTTTGTAAATGGGTATATTTATTTAAAAAACCCTTAAAAGGGCTACATCAATAAAACAAACGTTTTCGGACCACACAGTCCATCATCAGGTTTTAAAATCGAAAAATGCTAGGTCACAATGCCTGAGCCACCAAAATACTAGGGTAAAAACCCTTTAAATTACATTTAGTTATAAAAGATTGTACATTGTGTTGTAAAATAACTGTGATCAGTATTAAATTAAATTTGACTAGAGGTAACACATGGCTGAATCGAGTTCCAGAGCCGGTGAGAGAGAACCTCTACACGCGGAGAACAGCTGGGAACTGTTCTCCGCGTGTAGAGGTTAATACTACCGTAATATGCACCGATTCTCTCTCCGCCATTGACTCAATCAGAAACATATACCCCATACATCCCATTGTACAGTGCATCCACAGTATCTCCTAACAGCATGTTGGTATCAATGAAAATGAGAACGCTGATCATGCAGCAAAACTGGCCTGCTCCTTAGAAAATATGAAAAACATACAATTTTACCAAGACCTAAATGCCAGTATCAAGATCAACGTACTAAGCACTTGGCAAAGACACTAGAACGTGCAAAATACAAAACTACGCACAATTCAACCAACTGTTACCTCCATTCTTCTTCTTAGTCGTTAATCTGATGCAGGTATCGTGATATCATGAAGCTATTAGCTAATTTTTCCAATGTTCCTCCACGTTTTTCCACGTTTTGTCTACTATGTCTCAAATGAGCAGGAAAGACAATATTATTATCAGAAGGCTCAGAATATGTCACACTAGTCCTATTCATGGATATTTGATGTCTTCTGAAAACTATCCTTGCTGTGAATAGTATAATGAGTCCTTAACAGTCCAGCACATATTACTAGAATGTCTACACTACAAACCTCAAAGAGACTACTACAACATTTAAAATAATTTAAGTGATTTTCTCGATTCTACAAACATGTACAGTGCAATAATTCGTTTCCTTAAAGATAGTTACATTTACTACTTAGTGTAATTATATTCAGATGTTGTTAATGTATTCTAACTTGTATAAAAAATTTGTTAAATTTACTTTGAGTTACATTTTTTAACTTTATAAACTATGATATTTAAGTTACAACAGGAATAGATAACATGGCAACATAAGACTCCACTGGGGGTTGTTAGTCCTGAGACGAAGTGTCTACGAGGACTTGTTGATAGCAACCAAGTAGCAGCAATCAACAAATCCTCGTAGACACAATTAGTATTAAAAAACTTACATATTAATATTTCCAACCAGCCAGTCTAGTTCTACATGGTTTTCATTTTTGTACCACCTTATAGCTTGGTAAATATCAGCACTATCACTAGTCCACTTTTGTATAACTTCTTCAACAAATGTTCCAATATATGTCTTAACTAAGGTAACATCGGTAAGTTCTTCAGGTTTATCTTCTGTTGGTCTAAATACATAAGCTCCAGATCTCACAATATTGTTATCAGCTGTTTCAATACCAGATTTGTAAATGAAGAAGTTCTGTTTTACTTTTAGAGTGATATCGTTGAGAGTGACGTTATGAAGAAGGTTAGTTTTTTCGTTTAATTTGAAAACAGTCAATTGTGAGGGATCTTCATTATCTTGTTCCACCTTTGTGTTTTGTTTTTCAATATGATATATTTTTAAACCCAACGGTTCAACGTTCTTGGCTGCAAATATAAGCTCAAAAGCACTGGGGTGTTCATCCTTAATTTTAACGAAACTAAAAGAGCTGAGAGGTTCAATTAAGTCATATTCTTCTTTACCTAAAAAACTTATTTAATTAGTAAATATGGGAAAATAAATTTCAGAAAAACATTTGAAATTTAACTATAATATTATTCTGGACGACTATCCATTACTCATTTTTTTTGTTTTACGTTTATAAAAATCACTTAATAACTACAAACTTTACCATCTGGTCCATTAATAATGTACTGTCCTTCTTCGACTGGCAACCTGACGTAATGAGTAATATTCCATGCTAAAGGATTGTAAACAGCAACAACAAACTTATCGCTTTTCTGAGACGTAGAACATATGCTAACATTAGTAAGGACACATGAACTGAGGCTCCAATCTAACTTTGTTTTAGCGTCCAGAAGTTCACTGCAACAAAATGAAACTATTAACAATAAACTTTGAAAATAAGGCTATTATCGAGCACAAGTTAATTAAATCTAGCCCAAGTACTTTCGCTTAAAATAGCATCTTCAGGGGCATCTGAAATAAGCCAAGAAAACGTTTTTTAGATGAAGTAAATTAGTTAACTTCTATAAAAAACTCGAAGTTAATGGATGAAAAAAAGGGTTTTTGAGATTAACGTTTTAGACTTACTTCGTCAAAATGTGAACTATCCGGCAAGCGTAGAATGTGGAAACATTAAAAATAACATAAAATTGTACAAAACACTACACTAGAACGAGGACAAACAGTTTAAGATTACGTAAAGATTCTACGCTACATTCTCTGTCAGTATCTGGAGGGATAATGATCTAAGCGGAAATGATACGGTGACATGTGACATATGACAACTTTGATAGGCAGTCAAAGTTATGGATCTGTGATCAGCAAATATTAAAATTCTGTATAAGTTGTCATTGGCCAAAGGTCCAACTAGAACTACTACTGAAAAAATCAGCTGATGAAGTATCACATATAGAATATTTTGATTTAAACTAGATTGCATAATCCAGATCTCACACTCACACCCGTCTGTAATAATAAGGTTGTAGGTTTGAGGCTAAATGAAGTGTACATAAAGTGTGAATGAAAGAAATAGACCAAACGATCTATTGTACAGTGGGTAGTTGACTACAATAAAATGGTCTACCAGGCACTGTCAATACTGCAAAACGAGAAAAAAATTGACTATGAAATTGAAATATTAAAATTAAATCAGAATTGAAAGCAGTGTGTAAATGGGTATAGTTCAAGTAGTTCGGTTAAACCTCAAGCCAATGGGGAAACTATAAAACTAATATGTAATAGCATTACTAAAGACCAACTGACCAACAGGTGTTGAAATATAAAAAAAACTGTGGAATTAGTATATTATGTAGATTATGCAGAGGTATGAAGAGTGAAATCAACTCCAACTGTGGATCAATTGAATCTGAGCAAGCTAGTTGTGTAAATTATTAAATACAATAGTAATGCTGAACAGAGCTTGAAATTGGTAGATACTTAATGTATAAACTCAGTGCAGGAAGTCTAGACAGCCGAGCTGGGTCCACTACGAGGTGAAGCTGTAATAAAATTTTTAAAAATAGGTTTAAATTATACAGTTTAAATTAATTTGAGTATTAAGATAATGAGAGTTTCCATTCGTTTCCTTTGTGATCTCCAAATCTTCCAATAGATCCAACTCCAAATAGTTTTTCTTTCTACTGATGTCATGCAAAATAGATGACCCAGTATTGATGTTGAAATTGTGTTTGCTAGACTCTAAATGTTGACCAAAACTTGAAGAGTTTGGTCTTTTTAAATGTTCTGATATTCTAGTAGAATTCTACTTAAAGAGTAGATATTAAAATAAAGTAGTTTTCAAATAATATATATTTCATTCTACACTAAATACATAGTACACAACAAGCCCACATATCATTTTTTGCTGAGAATTTATTTGAAATAGAATAACAATGTATTTAATTTACTGAATAACTTTTGAGTTCGTAGTGAACAGGATCAGCCATTTGAGATTTAGATTCCAACAAAAATAAAGTTTTTATATATCCTAGTTTATTCCCAGTTAAGAAGTCGAAATAGATTAACACTACCCTGGGTTCTAACCCACGAAGGTTACGTAGAGAATGAGAAGGCTGATAATCTGTACCGAAAAGGCACGTATACACTGCTAGTGCTATTGCTATTTCAAGAATACACAAAACAGCAGCCACTGATAAATTGTGAAGAAATGCATTACGACAAAGACAGACTAAAGAGTTCATTACAACAGTAAATTATATTTAACCAAATTCACAAACTTATTGACCCATAATCAAGAGCCTTTCGGGGTCATAGTGAGGCTGATGACTAGTTAATGTAGATTCAATAACTATTAAAAGCTTGACAGAAGAGGATAGTTGTCAGTTGTATAGAAGAGAAAACCGAGCACGTTTTATGTCAGTTTAAAGACCTTACAAGATTGCGGTATTTAGAACTCGGTAAGGACAAACCGCAAGTGTGTCTATAAGAAAGGATCAAGGCTGTGGAAGCTCATTAAGCGGAGAAAATGGCTAGGTGCCATACATCTACAAGGCGTGTACAAGATGATAATGATGATGATAAAAGATAGAGGTCTTTGAAATATTGCTCTACAGACACGTTCTTTAAGTATTCTAAATAAATAGAGTCACAAATCAGACAGTGCAGGAAAAATTAAACGTTAAATCTGAAACTATATTTACTATAAAGACAAGAAAACTTAAGTTCCTGCTCCAGGTCTCTAGAGGCACATGATATGAGTTGCTACAGCTAATAACGCAAGGAAAGATAGTTAGATGAAGACACGTGGAAAATAAAAGAATTTCTTAGTTCCAGAACCTTTGTGAATCGTTCAGAATTATATTGGTCTAATTATTTAGTGCAGCAGTTTCGAAGTGCCAATAGCGATGTAGTTTAGCAATTTCTACAGGGGATGCAAAACAAAATTTAAATAGAAGAAGCCCCTCTGCTTCCTTTATTTATTCTAATCTAGATCTGTCTCATTTTTTTAAAACGATTATTGATATTAAAGACAAGTGAAATTTTCTGTACACTTAAATTCATATTTTACAATTTTCAAAACAAAACGAACAAAAATAATAGAAATAAAGAAAATCGGTGAAAAATTTACAAACCTTAATATTTCAGTAACTGGTTCTTCTACCTTTGTAATGGCCGCTGTTAGCGTTCTGATATAATCACTAGTGACGTGTGTTTTCTGTGTACCAGTTATGGCGTTATGATGTTGCAATGTACCCATGGCTTGATTAAGATCAGTTAACTTTTCGTCATGTCTTCTAGTAGAACTTAAAGCATACATTTGTTTTGTAGCCTAAAATGAACCAATAGTTATTATAAAACCAGTATCAACCATAAAAATAGATATGTACATACCAAGTGATACATTCTTTATATAACTGTATTTCGCAAAGCTCAGTGGTAAGTCCCTTACTTTTTGAAATTTATACTGTACAAGTCCACAATGGCTTTTGGTTTTACTTTATAAGTACAAAACCTTTCAACATAAGCTTTTTCACTACAAGTTGGCTATTATTTGACAATACTAGAAACATAAGAGGTTTTGATTCTGATTTTACAACAGGTCAAAAAGTTCAAGTACTTGGGAGGTTGGAGTGATAGTAGTATTGTATTCTACAACATAACAGGCCAGGAAATCTTTCGAAAAAATCAAATATGTCTATGTGATTTAAATAGAATTTGGAACTCCACTACGTTGATCAACATTCTACATCTGGTGAACTCTCATCAAAGAACGAAAATTTTAAAACACAGTAAAAGTTAGAAAAACATTATACCAAGGTTTTTTTCGTCTATGTAGAGGTAGGTTTGGAATCTTCAAAAGATCTTCTTCTTCTTAGAGTGCCGTCTCCCTACGGAGGTTGGCAATCATAATGGCTATTTTTATTTTAGAACTTGCTGCTCTAAACAAATCAATCGATCTGCATTGGTGCCAATCACGTAGATTCTTTAACCATGAGTTCTGCCTTCGGCCAACAGGTCTTCTTCCTTGAATCTTTCCCTGTATTATCAGTCTCAAAATTTCATATTTTGGTCCCCTTATCACGTGGCCTAGGTATTCCAGTTTTCTGGTTTGTATAGTGGTGATTAGTTCTGTTTCTTTACCAACCCTCTCCAGTACTTTTTTATTTGTAATTCTATCAGTCCATGATATTTTCAATACTCTGCGGTATAACCATAGTTCGAATTCCTCGATTCTTTTTAAATTACATTTTTTTAATGTCCAAGTCTCAGCTCCATATAATAATATTGAAAATATAAATTTAAATAAAAATCTAAATTTGGAGATCAGACTACGTACCATTCGCTGTTATATTATAACAGCGAATGGTACGTAGTCTGATCTCCAAATTTAGATTTTTGCACGTTAGGAGTGGCTTCATTCGTATAAATGCTGATCTGGCAATCTATATTCGCCTGTTTATTTCTACAGTATGATCATTGGTTTCATTGATCAAAGTTCCCAAATACTGATATTTTTCTACTTGTTCTATCACGTTACCATTTATTGTCAATAGGTGTTGTATATTTTGTGGCCTTTTTGTAATCAGCATGTACTTCGTTTTTTTAGCGTTTATAGTAATTCCCATCTCAGCACTATTTATACTCAAGCTTTCGATAAGATGTTGTAGATCCTCTATACTCGTTGCTATGATCACAGTGTCGTCTGCATATCTTAAATTATTAATTAATTTTTCGTTAACGGTGACTCCCGCTTCGATATTATTGAGTGTGTTTTGGAAAATTTCTTCAGAATATAAGTTAAACAAAAGTGGTGATAACACACATCCCTGTCTAACTCCTCTACAGATCCTCATTTCTTCTGAGTGTTGCCCATCAATTTGAACTATGGCACTTTGGTTCCAATATAATGTTTGCACTATATTTATGATTTTACTGTCAATGCGCTTGTTCATAAGTATTGATATTATCAAAAGATAGCTCAGTCCAATGCGTGAAAGACCGCTATCGTATCAAGTACGGCTTCAATACCAGCCGGACATTTCCTCTTTCCCCACAGTCGGACTCTCATAGTCTAACTCACTTTTAGCCTCTTGGTTCAGCTGCCTTTCTTCCATTCTTTCTTTTTAATCACTGTACGAATAAAGTTGTGTACACTAGTCCAACTTGCTCTAGTATTATTTTCTCAATTATTTCTCTTATTGTCACAAAATTCCCTCTTGTATCTCTTTCCGTTCTGTTCCTGCGTTTCTACTATCTATCCACCCATCGACTTCATTATTTAAATATTTAGCCACATTGTTTAACATAAAAAAAACATATAAAAAGTTTTGGAACATTTTTTACAGACACTCGAACTTTATATTAAATCATGAGAAATTGTTGATTTGCAGGCCGTAGTTACTCCAGCATCTGCAGGAGTATTTAGATTTTTAAAAGGCCACCATTACCCATGGTGCTATGCCATAACCTTAATCTCCTAAAATTATTGCATTTGACCTACTAAACTCATTTTATAGCAATGTTACAAATTTGTAAGCTTGTAAACCACTCATCTGCATTTGACCACCATGAAAAGAAGGTCTTTTCAATTTTATTTTTATGTGGGTATAATCGATCACATCCACGGCACACGGAAAGATGTACGTTGTTTGCCATCCTTCTTTAGCTCCTATTATATTCGCCGGAGTGGAAGAAAATTTTATCCAACGTGCGCATTTTTCTATTATCTGGTCAGTAACTTGCGTCACAACCTTAGTCACAGTAGTTTGATGAACAACAATATCTTCTCCCACTCCTGCGAGAAGCCTTCGGACCACGTACACATCTTAAAAGTATTTTCATTTTATCCAAGTTACATATAGCCCGACCTCTTGTTTCTTTTGACTATTTACTCAATAAGTTTTCTTACTTACTTACTTACTTACTCCGTGGCGTTACAACCCTTCGTGGGTTTTAGCCGACTCGACAACATGCCTCCACTGTTTTTTGTTTTGAGCAAATTTCCATCCCATTCTCCACGCCCATAGTGCTTAAGTCTCCTGCTATATTATCTCGCCACCGGAGACGACGGCGTCCGCGTGGTCTCCTTCCAGTTGGGACTTCCTCCCACACCAGTCTTACTGTTCGTTCGTCAGAATGTCTTCTGAGGTGTCCTGCCCATTGGAGTCTTCTGGACTTTATTTCTTTTATGATGTTGGCGTCTGGGTAAAGTTCTTCAAGCTCTTTATTAGTTTAGGATTTTTTTTTTCCCCAAATACGTAGTCTCTCTTCATTTGCCTTTATTATCGTCCACGTTTCGCTTCCATACATCACAACGGGTCGTATGATTGTTTTATAGACCTGTATCTTCGTACGTCGTGTTAGTTGTTTTGATTTTATAAGGTTTTGGAGGGCAAAAATACATCTGTTGCTGGCCTGAATCCTGTTGTTTATTTCTTGTGATCCGTTATTGTCTTCAGTTATTGTTGTTCCAAGATACTTGAATTCTCTAATGCGCTCAAAGTTAAAGTCATCGATGGTAATGTTCTGACCGATTCTGTCTCTGCTTTGGTTATTGCGGCTCATATACATATATTTCGTCTTGTTTTTGTTGATTTGGAGCCCCATCTTCTCTGCTTCCTTCTCAAACCTTACGAAAGTCTCCTTCATCCTTAATCGCGTGTTTCCTATTAGACCTATATCGTCTGCAAATGCCAGTAGTAAGTTTGGTCCTTCGCGATAAAATACTGTATTCGGTTTTTCGATTCTTGCACTTCTGATTATGTGCTCCAGAGCTAAGATGAAGAGTTGTGGTGAAAGTGCATCTCCCTGTTTTAGTCCATTATTTATTAATAAGTTTTCTACTCAAATTAATTATGAAAGCCACTTGGCGTTTTCTTTATTAACTGGATATACTTTAAAGTCACGATCACACGTACTTCTTCTTAGTTTTTAATATTTTTTAACGCAAATTAAACATAAACTGAGCTATAGTTTTGCCTCGATAAAACTAAGTCTGGTAACTATTAGACTCCTAATTTATGGAGTAGATTCTTACTTTAAAGACCATGAAGATAGTTTAATTCATATCAAAAATGAAAACAAACTGTACATCACAGTACACATATAGTACTCACTCACGCGTATCTACTTCTGTTTTTATTCATACCACGTGGAGTATTTACTACAAAATTTAAACTAAATTCTCATTTTTATTTATAATCCCCTTAAGATAGGTAATAAATACGTATCCAAAACTTATGCTTACCTGCAGTATATTATGTCCAACTCTTTCAAACCTCTTTAAAGTAGGTCTTGAACTGAAATATCCTGTCCAGAAGGAATGTTCGTCAGAACTGTATGGAAAAAAGTCATCTGTTTTCAATGTTAGGTTAACTTTACTGTCGTGTATACTCTTTAAATAACAAGATGGGGTAGAATAAATCAAATTATATTTCTTGTGGTTCTTGAAACCTCTAAAAGAGTATAAAACATAAAGGTTTATGATTTGTACAGAAAATATAATTACTTCTTAGAGTTATAATAATTGGAGGACCTTTACGAATAACTTTAAAGTAAAGATTTCTATAGACAGGTTTGAAAAAATTTACATTTTAAGGTAGTTGAATTTTGTTAACTTGGCGTCAGCTGGAAATCTGTTAATACTATGTACGTTACTGTTACTAAATAAGTAACCAATAATTTAATAATAAAATTCGAATCATCTCTGCACATACTCTCTACTGTTTTATATTTCTAAAACCAGAGTTTTATTTATTTAAAATTGCTATTCTAATTTTTGTCGGTAGTTGTTTTAATTTATATCTGTTCTAATCTGAATCTTTTATCTTTTCTTTGGATACTTTTATCTAAAGTAGTAGCATAAACTTGAACTATATTTATTTTTAATTATAAAAATATAATTATAAAAAATTTGAACTTACTTTATTAGACGATCGATATTATCAAAAATATAACTTGCTTGTTGATATTGAAAGTCTCCACCCATAGTAACCAAAATATTTCTATTGTCTTCAGAATATAATTTCACATATTCATCTAAAGCTGCTGAGAAACGATTAACCTTAAATTAAATATAAATATGAAAAAAAAAGCGAGAAATAAAAGACAAATAATATAAGAAAGAAAACACATTTTAAAATTTAAAAGGGAAATTCTATATCATAGTTAAAAAGACAACTCAAATAAAAACTTTCTTTGTAAAATGGTATAAAACATTTATTTAAACTTTTAAAAAATTTTAAATTCTAAAATTTTCAGAACTTTTTTAAAAAACGTCTATAAAGTAATTGGAACTAGCCACATACTGAGGTCAAATGACCCTCAAATCGACCCCTGCATAGAATAACGTTGTAACTAACATTTTTGGCGATTTTGAGTTACAGTGTTCTTCTTGAATAAGTTTTTACGCTCTATCTGCCAACATGGTCGGTGTGGCTGTAGCTGCATTAATAAGAAAGATTCCGAATGGAATAATACAGTAAATATAAAAAAAAATTGAATTATTTGTAGAATAACAGAGTAACTACAGATACGACGTTGAACCAAATCAAATTTTCGTCGAAAGATGCCGTATCGTACAATAGTGTATCAAAATAATTCTCATATTTCAAAAACTACACTGTAACTGTTGTTATAATTTTATTCGCTGCATTGGCTGCTAAGTTCTGATAATTATGCAGATAGATATTACACGTCGTGTGTCAATATTTCGCGGCATTATTGTGAGAATAGTAGGGGGAAATAGACAGATCTTGATTGTTTCCCGGTCCTGGTGTTTAGTTTGCAGTTGAATAGTACACAGCGCAGGTGTTATTTTTAAAATATAACGCACAATTATTTCGAGGAAGGTCATTCCCAAAAAGAGGGAGATTTCATGCACGCCTTAATAGAACCAAGCAGTTTTTACTCCCGAGCAATGGATTAGCTTAGTAAGATGTGCAAAAACAACAGGTAAACGGTAGGTAAACAGGTAAAAAAATGAAGAAAATGAAAAAACGCGTATGAAACATGGTAAAACACATAAATATTTCTGAAACAAATCCTGGCGGTGAATATTCAATATGATTTCATATCCGATAAAAAAATTAAGTTTAACTTGCTACAGAAACCTATCTCCAGGAACAAAAAAGTTTAGCAACTTCTAGTAAAGGTCTTTCTAGGAATCTACATCTAGCATATTCATCTTATCTAGGGATAACAAAAGCAAAATATGATGATCTGCAGAGTTTATGTCGAAGCCAGTGCATTCCTGTCACTTACCACGATTATTTTAAAAATCTCCCAGTTAATTGCAAAAACATAAATCAAAACAGCGATATGGAAGACTAGACATAAAATAAATATGTTCATTTTAAATTTAATTCGAATTTATATTTAGTTTAAAGTACATATTTAGTTAATTTTTCCGATGAGAACATCGTAAGTGCAGTTACAAGATTATTCGATGAAACTTTATATTTATATCAAAAACCGTAACTGCTCCAGTTCAAAAACCTATTCTCTAATTAAAAAAAACTAGACCTTATTCTAAAAGAGCAGTTCAACATTTATATAACTACTTACTTCTTACACTGAAAAAATGTTACATACATGTAAAAAAGAAATCAAAGAAATTGGTATCTTATTTTATCATTTCTGAACAATATCGTAAATGCTGGTTAGAACGTTATTCTTTGCAGGGGTCGAAATGACATACTTAGAGTAACAAATATTACATTTTTTAACCCGTCATTTTTCGCGTGGTGAGCGCAGCGCTCAGTTGGAATTATTTTAAAGCCTACAAAAATATTCAGAAAACAACTGCCATTCAGAATCAGTGCAATCTCTAATGGTAGTATGTAGAAGGCACTTACGGGTAAAAACATTTCTGCTAAGCCTAAATACCCCACCAATAAATTTTTATTTCTGGTCCGGTCAAAAGCTGAGCGGCGCGCTCAGTACGGATCCAGCCCAAGAGAGACAACTTTTGGAGTGTTTGGATAAGGCAGAGGAGAATTAAAGTAAACTTGGTTTACAAGATAAAGAAGACAGTGATATAGACCAGTGTGAAAATTTGGGCCATAATACAGACTCCGAATTGTCAATCGATTCTGATGATAATGATGTGGCTTCTGTTTGTAGTCAAGATGATCCAGTTTATTTTGTATAAGATGGCATAACAAAATTGGCTGTTCATTCACAGCGAAAAACCAGTCGCACACGTAAGCGCAACATAGTTAGTCATCTGTCAGCTGTAAAATCAATATCGAAAAATATGTTAATACCAATTTAATGCGGGAAATTGTTTTTCTCTGACGAAATGATAAACGAAAATGGGGAACACACCAATATGTATTTAGTAAAAATGCACAACCAGTTTTCTAGTGAATGTTTGTATCAATAGTGATGAAATTAGAGCACTATTTGGCTTGTTGTCTTTAACTGGTATTTTCAAAGCTTTTCATGTAAATCTGGACAATTTTTGATCTACAAATAAAACAACAAAGAACCGATTCTATATTCTCCTTTGTGCACTGCGCTTTGACGATATTTTTGAAGAAACTTGCTTTCATTAGAAAAGTGTTCACCGAGGGTTTAGAAAAGGCATAGCTTGCTATACAGTTAAAATGTATTGTTGCATTGACAAGATGCTTAAACATTTTCGTATAATATATCCATAATATATTCCCAGTATACATATTGATTCGCAAAGTTTTTATACAGCAAGGTTGGAAATATATGGTAGAAAGCAGCCAGAAAGCCCCTTCAAGAAAGATAATAGTCCTAGCAGTGTAGTTAAACGTATGATAGATCCAATTGCCCATACTGGACGCAACATTATTTGCGACAACTGATTAACGTCCATTCCACTGGCTACTGACTTGCTACACAGTTACAGGATAACTCTAGTAGGAATCCTGAGAAAGAATGAACCACAAATGTCTCCTCTTTTTGTAGCTACAAAGGGAAGACCGCTAAATAGCAGCATTTTTGGTTACGGTAAAGACTGTCTTTTTACGTTTGCAAGAAATCAAAAATATTCTGATGTTATCTTTGATAGATGATTAGGCCGCAGGTAATAACCTTCTACAATACGAAATAGGGAGCAGAGATTTTTGTGGACCAGATGTAATGTAACTACTCCATTTCTGAAATAAGTTGCCGATGGTCACTTACAGTCTTTTTTTTATTAATGAATATTGCAAGAATAAATAGCCAGGGAGTTTATTACAGCAATACTAATACTAAATTAGAACGCCGTTCATATCTAAGAGAAATTAGTATAGATCTTATCAGACCCCACTTGATAAATCAAGCATTAATCACAACATTTTCAATATTATTACGACTTGAAATAAGACGCCAAGAAGGTTTTCCTGATAAAGAAACTTCAGTAGTAACTGCACAAAATAAACATAGAGTCAAATGTTTTTATTGTCCTCGAAGTAAAAATAGAAAAACCAGTTTATTTTGTGCAGATTGTTGAAAACCTATTTGTGGTGAACATAATTACAATATGTCGCATATGCCACAATAAATGCTATGAAAGTGAATAAAGTATTTACATATCTTTTATGTTATATATATATATATATATATATATATATATATATATATATATATATAAATCAGAACAAATTGCAAATCTTCTGTTTAAACATAATATTACGGTTGCTCATAAAGGGCACAATCTTTTGAAAAGGAATTTTACAAGATTAAAAACAAAAACCCCTCTATTAAAAAGATCGCATGTTGTATATGAAATTTCCTGCTCGAATTGTGATGGAGTTTATATTGGACAAACCAGTCAGCTACTTAACTCAAGAATACGTTCCCACAAATATGACAAAAAAATCTCAACCGCCCTCACAAAACATGAAAACGAAAAAAAACATAAATTTGATTTTGAGAAAACCAAGATCCTAAAAAGTGAACCCAACAGGAAGAAGAGAGAGTTTCTAGAGCCTATACAAATAAAAAATAATAATAACGCAATAAATGATAAAGAAGATGTCAAAAATTAAACAAAATATATTTTAACTTATTTTAAAAACACATAAAAAGACAATCTCAGAACGCCTATGATGTTAAAATAACTGATTGTTTAAACGATAAACTAACATCAATAAACAACACATTAGATTTAAAATACATTTTACATGTAGTGACTTAGTGGGTATGTCCTATGTTTTTAATATTATTTTAATTGTGACGTCTACTTGTTAGTACCGAATTTTTACATGCTTGGTAAGTCAAAAGTGTAACTTTTAAACCGTATTATGTCTGTCATAAAATGTTTTTTTTTTAGTCAATATTACTTCTTGAAAAAGGCATGGATTTCCTGCCGAAACGTCGAAAAACATATATATATATATATATATATATATATATATATATATATATATATATATATATATATATTATTTCATTACTAAAAAGTAAATATATTTATGTTATTTATCAAAAATTTTTAAAGAACTGCTGGAACCAACTAAAATTCCTTAATTATTGAATATAATGAATTTATTATGAATATAAAATATAATTAAATGAGAAGAAAATGGCGACTGGAGTGTCGAAGTGAAAATGGAGTGTAAAAATTCCCAGCTTGCAAAAAGGACCTTACGCCCTGAGTGGCAACAACCAACTCCAACCAACAACTGATTCTGTTAAATCAAATATTTAACATGGTCACTTTTATCTGGAAGTGGTCAATTCAATATTTGAATCATTCAGTGATAATATGAATGATATTATTAGTGATGTTTACTCGCTCTAAAGCCGGTCACTCACGATATTGCAATGTCATTCCACAAAATCGTATTCATTATCATTTTGGCTTTACAACCCTGTGTGGGTCCTAGCCTCCCCAAGAATTTTTTTCCAGTCATCCGTATCCATCGCCTTCCTCCGCCAAGCACGTATTTCCATATTTCTCATATCTTGGTCTATGTTATCTAGGAATCTTGTTCTGAGTCTTTCTCTTCTTCTTTGACCAATAGGTCTATCAAGGAGCGGTTTTCTAGCTGGGTCGGTTTGCTCTATCCGCATTACATGGCCTACCCACCTTAGACGTCCTAT